GGGGGAGGTTGTACGAAGAACGGGACCTTGTGCAGGATATTATTGTCCTTTTGTAGATGCCGTCGAGTGGCAAACTTTTGAAAGGACAGATGAAATTATCTTTTGTCTTCCTTATTTGACATCAATGGGGCAAGGAGCTTATAAAAAAGACAATGTTTGAGCTACTGGTAGCTTCAGCACAATTCATTGGAAACTAGGGCAAAGTGGTGAGGTTCAAGGTTCACATATTATGATGAATGGGGTCAATGAATGAGGTGCTCAGGGTTCTTCCCAGAGACTCTGGTGGCTGTGCCGTGCTCTCCACAAAACCTTTTTTGTCCAGCACTTTTGAAATGGCCGGCCAGAGAAGACAATTTAGTTGATGTTCTACTAGGTAAAAATCTCTTTCCTTAAAGTAAGGAATGTTTTTTACTCTACCTTGATCTTTTTTGTTTCTTTTTTGTTTGGTTTGTTGTTGTTTTTCTTCGTTGTACATGATGTTTTCTTCTCATGAAGAGATGTAATTTGTGAGTTTCTTTTCCGTGTGCACAAAAGACATCGGTTTGATTGACTGTCGTGATTTCTCCTCTTTATTGCTCATTTGGAGTCTGTGTTGATTTCCCTAAAAGCATGACTCATCATTTTTCATCTTCTGCTGGGACTGAGAACTCTCCTGAAGGCTCTGTTGTGACGTCGTGATATACCGTCCTTCTGTTTGTTTAATTTTTTGTTTTTGTTGTCAGTTATGTGCCAGAGTCAATAATTATACTTTTTCTTTTTTTGCTGGGGGGGGGGGTCTTTTTGAGTCACCACTATGAAAGCTGTCAGTGTAGGACTTTTTGTTTTCCCGACCCTTCTGTCGTTCTTCCGACCCTTCTGTCGTTCTTCCGACCCTTCTGTCGTTCTTCCGACCCTTCTGTCGTTCTGGTTTCTTCTGTCGTTCTTCCGACCCTTCTGTCGTTCTGGTTTCTTCTGTCGTTCTTCCGACCCTTATGTTGTTCTTGTTTCTTCTGTCGTTCTTGTTTCTTCTGTCTCTTTTCCCCTGCACTCTTTTCAAATGGGAGGTTGGCGGGTGCTCTGGTGTGGTTTGCTCCTTCTTTCTTATCAAACATCTGTTGACCTTATCGCTCCTCCTTCTTTGCCTTTGTTGATGGCTTGTAAACACTTCTATTCTTCAGCATTTATATGAACTTATTGTGTTGCAAGTGCCGTAAATCTCTTACTTCAACAAAAGAAAGTCTCTTTTCGATCGTCCAGATTTATTTTAAAGACTAAAATCTAACCTTACTGTTTGCAGGCACAGTCAATATCTGGGAAGGGAAAGTCGTGCGTTCGGCCATGGGAGGTCACTTCAGCGTGCCTCTTCACTGGGGGCTGTCGTGGGCCGAGGTGGGCGGGTACGTGGCAGAAGACAGCCTGGTCCTACTGGCGGACACACAGGACGGGAGGATGCTGGACCGGGCGTTTGACCACACCATGAGCCTGGAGGAACTGGACAAGTTAGGTGAGGAGTTAGGGGAGGAGTTAGGTGAGGAGTTAGGGGAGGAGTTAGGGGAGGAGTTAGGTCAGGAGTTAGGGGAGGAGTTAGGTCAGGAGTTAGGTCAGGAGTTAGGTCAG